ATTTCGAAATCTTGGGGCTTAAGGGAAGGATTTGAAAATCTTGTTCAAATTTTCGCAAATTAGGGTTTGGAAACCCTAATCTCGAAAATTCTAGACTCCTAGGGTTTATTGGCAATAAACCCTAATATGTCAAGTTCATACAATTGTATAATATTAATTGAAAAAAAAATAACCAAAGGCTCTAATACCACTATTGTGTTTTATACAAACAATCCTATGTGTGCATGCAACCCTAGAATTGGATCTATGTTTTCACTATTAGTTACACAACATTATGAACACATAATAAAACCCTAATAAGTCATACTATTTTCGAAATTCACCAAGAAGATTAGAATACATACCTTTTGTTGTTATATAATAATAACAACTCAAATCCTCCTTGTAATGGCTTTAGAAAGCTTAGAGTCACAAGTGTCACTCCTCTAATGGCTCACAAACACCAAGAGCAAGAGGATGAAGAATGATAAGAGAGGAGGCACCCAAAAAACGCGTGGAAACCCTAAGGAAACTCTTAGCCACGTTTTTGGTGCTCTAGGGATCCTTAAATAGTGAGGCTATTAGGGTTATCTAACAAGGAAACCCTAATTTGACTGCTTAATCCCTAAGCAACCCATGGACTCCCTCCTTAGAGGCCTAGGACGATTTCTAATGGATTTCCCCATAGAATTCGTCCACCCCTCTAATATTGAGTCCATTAGCCCACTATTCAACTATCATACAATTGACAGTTCTAGTCCCTTAAGTTTAATTAATGTCTTTTAACCACAAAATTAATTCTTAATTAATTATTGACTAATATTAATTAACCAATATGATTTCTTCTTCAATATATTATTCTCATAATATATTAATAAATCATAATTAATCCTCTTTCTCCATAATTCATCCTATCAAGTTGCTTTGGTGAAGGCAACCCAAAAGAACCATGCACCATCGGGGTCAAGTACATACCAAAATAGTTATGAACTTAGACACTAATCCAACAAAACAAACATCTTGGTCCGACATGAAAGAAGTCGGTAACCCATGCAGAACCACCACCTCTCGAACATAAATCTCAACAAGTTTCTCTATAGAAGAGCCCTCACTTAAAGCTAGGAAGTTTTCACTCTTTGTCAAACGATCCACTGTCACCCAAATAGCATCTAAACCCTTTGTAGTCTTCGGCAATTTTGTAATGAAATCTATCATGATTTGCTCCCACTTCCATAGTGGAACCTCTAAGGTCTGTAAATTGCCATGAGTGTGCCGGTGCTCGGCATTGACCTTCGAGTAGGTCAAACATCACTTTACAAACCAAGCCACATCCTTCTTCATACATTGCCACCAATAACTATGCTTCAAGTTGAGATACATCTTGGTAGCCCCCGGGTGGATGGAAAATCTCAACTTGTGGGCCTCCTTCATCAATACCCGTCGATCCCCGCCAGCATAAGGCACCCAAACCCTCCCATGAAGTGTCAAAAGCCACTTTGTTGTCGATATCAAATGTTGAAATCTGAACGATTACCCACTCACTTATCCAATTTTCTTCCTTTATGGCCTCCGAATGTGCTTCTTTGATCGTTTCCCAAATTGGGCCATCACAGTCATACTCATACACACATCCTAAATCAGGGTACTAACCTCCCTCCAACTCAAGACGTCAGCCACTATATTGCCCTTGCCTGGGTGATATAGAATCTCACGGTCATAATCTTTCACCGCATCCAGACACCTCCTTTGCCTCATGTTCAGGTTAAGCTGATCAAAAAGATATATCATGCTCTGATGGTCAGTATAGATGGTACATCGAACTCCATAAAGATAGTGGTGCCAAATCTTAAGAACGAAAACCACCGCACCCCAATTCCAAATCATGGATGGGATACTTCGCTTCATAAGGCTTGATCTGCCTTGAAGTGTATGCAATCGGATGCCCCTTCTGCATCAACACAACAACCAAACCTAAAATGGATGCATTGTAGTAGACCATAAAATCCTCAACTCCTTCACTAAGGGCAAGTACCGGTGCCTCACACTTTCTTCTAGAGAAGAGTCTCGAATGATGCCTGTTGCTCAAGCCCTTAACTGAACACAACATCCTTCCTCGTCAACTTAGTGAGAGGAATAACAATATTGGAGAAGTCTCGGATGAATATCCGATAATATCACACCAACCCAAGGAAGATCTGAATCTCAGATGGAGACTTTGATACTTCCCACCATAGCACTGCCTCTATCTTTCCTAGGTCAACCAATATATTGTTCTGGTTGACGAGGTGTCCCAGAAACTAAACCTCACGCAACTAGAAATCACACTTGGAGAACTTAACATAGGGCTTCTCCATCCTCAAAACTTCGAGAATCTCACCCAAATTCTCCTTATGCTACTCCATGGTCTTCGAATAGACCAGAATATCATCGATGAAGATGATCTCCAATTGATCCAATATGTAGCACCCGATTCCTGGTATGTATTTTAATCAAATACATTTCTTATTTTGACCTGGGACTCGGCGAGTTGGTGACCCAAGTCGTCGAGTAGAAGCAAATTGGACACGGGAGTTAAGTGAGCGACTCGATGAGTCCGCACTGTCTGGACAAAACCCTAATTTAAGGGGGTTTGCACCCTATTTAAACGTCTTATTCAACCCTCTTCGTCTCTATTGCCCTCAGAACTCTCTATAACCAAAACCCTAATTGTTTGTGTGATCTAAGGCCATTTTGGTGCTTGTGGTTGGTTTGTAAAGCTTGAAAGGGAGGAAGAAGCTTGGAAATTCGAGTGGGGGCTTGTAGATCCAGAGATCTTATTCCATCTTCAACTCAAGCAAGGTAAATGCCCCTGTTTTGGTCTTTCTTTTTGGTTGTTCATCTTTAGGGCTTAGATTTTGGGTGCATTTAGGGCTCTCTAATCCATTTTCGGATTTGTGATGTGATTCATGGACTTCTACTTTCAGATCTGAGTCATTGAAGGGGTATCATGGCATAAAGGTGCCAATTTGATGGCCATGAGAAACCCATGCATATTGTAGAGCACCTTTTATGGATTTTTGAGCCAAAAACCCCCATGCATGTGCACCAAGAGTGAACTTTACGTATAAAATGGACATTAGGAGGCCAAATCTATGGTTTTGATGTGTTAAGACCCAGTTAAATCGACTGTATGGTATTGGTCAAGGATGAACTCACCGATTTGTTCTTGGACTCGGCGAGTCGAGGCGTAATGACCACTGAATTCATTCTGCGAATGGACCAGTGTTAGGGAAGGGAGTCCCTTTCCTTTTTTGTACTCAATATACCATCGAACTTGTTGTTTATGTTCACCATAACCCTTTGACCGACTATCACCGGTCAAAAGCCGGTCAAAAGGGTTATGATGAACACAAACAACAAGTTCAATGCTATATTGAATACAAAAAAAGGACCAAATGAGTACAAACGCAAAAGTTAATTACCCTCAAGAGTCATTTCCCTAAAAATGAGGGTAAATTAAAATTTTTTTAAACTTTTGTGACAATATTGTTGAAAGATAAAATCCACATGGCTTTAAAATGGGCTTTCAATAGCCACTATGCAGTACTAATGAAGGTCGTAGATATGGGCCTAGAAATGCAGTCCAACTCGTGTTTCGGCTTATATTAGATCGAACATATAACTCATATGTTTCAATTTCTTGTGCTGTTTCGTTCTGATTGGAGCCAAAGTTCTTCACCAGAGTTTTCCATAACTGAATACACATACAATTTTATAACTTACATGTACGCATCTCGTCGCCTCTATACACAAACCTGATTTTTCATCTGATGGATCCTTCTATAATGAAGTTCCTCGAAGAAGACGAGGGGGGGTATTTGGGAAAACTTTTTAAGCTTAAAAGTTCTTTTTGTAAAAGTTTTTTTTTTATAAAAGTTCTTTTGAGAAAACAAAGGCTAGGTTTTAAAAAGTGTTTGGGTAGTATTTTTTGACTTTTGAGTGTGATTTAGCTTTAAAAGTTCAAAAGTTACAAAAAATCACACTTTCTTGACTTTTGAAAACTCACCATTTTCTTCTTTACAAAAAGTTATTTTGAAAAGAACTTTTGCATCATTCAAACATCTTTATATCTTTTTAGAAAAGTTAAAAACAAAAGTCATTTAAAAAGTTTTCCACAGCCTCGAGGTTATATGCATATACCATTCTCTGCGTGTGTTTGTTTTGATTCCTATATCCTAAGGGGGTGTTTGGATAGGAAAAAAAAGGTGCTTATTGCTTATTCCCACAATAAGTTAATTTAAGTGTTTGGATAAAATCTGGGTTACTAAGCTAAATAAACTAATTTTAATAAGCAATCTTCCCCATGCTTATTGCTTATTGCTTATTCCTACCACAAATAAACTATAAGCAATAAGCTAAAAAGCTAATCCAAACACCTAAATCTTTGTTGTATATGGCAACTAGTTTATAACCCGTGAGAATCACGGTTATACAACTAATTGAACTTTTAAAATAAAAACTAAAATTATTAATCGATTATTTTAAATAAATTATTAATTAAGAGATTTTTTTTAGTTATATAAATTTTAATCATTGATTTAAATAAATATGTGAAATTATATCATTTTTAATTTGTATTAAGTTTATTTTAATTTTTATTATAATGTTATTAGTTTAATGTAATTAAAATGAGAAATTTAAAATTTGAAATTTGAAATGAAGAATCAATAGGTTTACAAATACTATATATTAATTATGAGATATAATATAATGATACATATCAAAAGAGAATAAAATATGTATTAATTAGGATGCTTAATAAAATGATACATGTCAAGAGGAGAATAAAACTATTCTTTTATTATATATGGAGATTAGAATGAAAAATTTAAAATTTAAAATTAAGAATTAATATGAAAGCCAATGAGGTGATACATAGCAAAAATAAATTAGGAGTAAAACTATTCTGTTATTAAAATATAGATTTTATTTTCTCAGATGAAACAATGCATTCAGGGGCAGACGTTGAGGCGTTCACTGCTGATATTGAAGGGGACAATACTTCAACATCTCAGACTCCCACTACTACAGATGCAGGCGGAGGTATTTCACGATTCTCTAACCGTTCTTAATTTTTCTCTACTCTTTGTTCTTCAAATCTAGACAGAGATACACTTTGAATTAGTATGTCAAACGAGCTACTTTTCAACTTCAAATTGAGCATGGAAAACCCCCAATATATGAATCCGTACAATTGCTTAAAATTAGGTCTCGAATTTGGTATGTTCTTACCTGCATTACGTCATTACCTTCATAGTTGTTTTATATGATGTTACCTCTTGCTTGATTTTTAATCGTTCCAATTCATTACTTTTTTGTTCTTTATCTTTCCATACCCTTTTTACTCCCACCAACATTCAGCTATCTGTGAAACTCAAGTATCTATCAACATTGCAGCTTTATCTCAAGGAACGAATCATACTCCAAGCCAGTTGTTTCAACAGTAGCAATCTGCCAACCGTGAAGGAAACACCAGTTACTCTAACGAAGAGGAAGTTAAGCCACAGATACATGAGCAGCAATCATCTGCCATGGAAGCAAATCGACATGGATCTGGTTCTGGTTCTGAAACCCAACATCCACCAAATGATACTTCACGAGAAATGAATCTTAGCCAATCAGAACCTAGCAGACCTCAAGATGATCAACATAATGTTCATATGTCTCAAACCATGAATGCACAGAATACTGAAAAGAATCCTGTCAATTCTCAAGAGCCAAATATAACAAGGAACCCAGAAAATGAATCCCAGTTGCAAAGAATGAATAGAATGGGAAATCAGCAACAACAGCAAGCAATGTCTGCAACTGGTCAAGCAGCTAATGCAATGAATCGGCCATCTGGAAAGCAGGTGCCATTTGCTCTATTGTTTCCTGTTATAGAACCACAACTTGATAAAGACAGGGCTATGCAACTCCAGGGTCTATATGTGCGATTAAGGGTATGATTTTCTGCTACTTCTTTTTTTTTTTTTTTTTTTTTGTTATAATTTCTATAAGCTGAATTGTTATGGTTTTACTTTCTCCCAGAACAATAATATTAACAAAGAAGAATTCATCCGACACATGCGTAGTCTTGTAGGTGATCATATGCTTAAGACGGCTGTCTATAAGTTGTAACAAGGGCAAGGGCAGGTTGAAAACACTTGTTCATCTGTTTGTATGTGTTTGATTTTGCAACACTTTTTCTTGAAAACACTTTCTTCATATTCATACACCCTTTAACTGACTTCACAAAATGTATTCCACTTTTCAGGTTTCTGGTAAACATAATATACAAAAGCCATCTCCATATGTTCCACCTTCAGCTGAAGCAAGCAGTCTACCAATGGATAACAATTCTCAAAAGTCAAGATTGTTGGAACACCAATCAGATGCTAGTAAGCAAGATAGGGATCAACAGCCATTTCCACCACTACAAGGACCCTTCAAACAACAACAACAACAACATATGCAGTTTCCACAACCTCCTTTTCCAAATTATGGAAACCCTAGAGGAAACTTTCACCCAGGGTCTAGTCCAAATATGAATATGACCTCACAATCTTTTAAACCACAAAGCCATGATTTACAAATGAGGCAAGGTCCAGTTCATCATCAGGTAGGAGGAATTGGGAATCCAATGAGTCAAAATGCATTTAATGACATGAAGAGAATGCATGGAGGAAATCTGTCCCATTTAGCCCACTCGCAATCATCAATGCATAAAGACCACATGTTAATGTCTGGGAAGCAGTTTAAGATTCTTAACAGGAAGCTTAACTCGCTTTTACAACTTCAAGCTGATGCAAGAGGTCGAAATATGTTTTTCTGGCATTGAGGTGGATGTGATGTTAAAAGCTCAAGAACATCGTTTACAGAACAAGCTTGATCAGATGAATAAGTGTAATAAGTTGAGAGTCAAAGCTCAATCTGATTCATTTAATGGTGAACTAAAGGAGTTGAAAGCTGTTGCGAAGGAACGCCATGCTCTTTTTGTTCAAGATGTAAAAACAGTTCGTGAGAATGTTAATTTCAAGATCGAAGAACTTCGCAACGATATGGCAAAGGAAGTAGTAGAGTTGAATCACAATTATTATTCTCTTCGTACGAAGGTCGACATCATTGTTGATGCTGTTACCAAGGTGATTGAGTGTTATACTTCTTTGGCTCCTAAAATAGAGAAGAAGGCTGAGGTTGATGTTCAAGCTTTTGAGAAGATGGATAAGTTGTTAACTGATTTGAAAGATTTAGTTTCAAAGTCTTCTTCATCTTCGTTGTTAACTCCGGAATTCTTAACTCAAAAGTTTCGTCTATTGGAATCTTCAATTCACAATGAATTGGCCCCAATTGCGAAGCTTGCTAACTTGATGCCAACGGATGCTCCACCTGTTTCCACAGAGGTGCAAGAGGGAGAAAGGAAAAGTGTTGGCATGAGTTCAAGAACTGTTAAAGGAGAAGGTGCTTCTGGGAAAACTGAAGGAGATGCGAAAGTTGTTGGTATAGTCAAGTCCAATCAGATTCCCTCTTCGATGCCTAAGAGTTATGATCCAATAATTTCTACAACAACAACAATAACAAAGCCTATAGTGAAAGGAATTGTTATTAGAAGGTCAAGCTCTTCTTGGAAACAACCACCGAAGGCAACTGATAAAAGCAAGGGAAAAGGAATAAGTGTTGAGCCTACGAAGGAAAAAAGGAAAGTTGCTATTAAACGAAGGGTTTTTAGCCCAACGGTATCAGGTGGTGCCCTCCCTTCTTGAGGTCGAGGGTTTAAGTCTCATTGTGGATATAGCTGGATTTAGGTGTTAGTTTAGAAGTAGATTATATATTGTATTTCAAAAAAAAACCGAAGACAAATTTAAAGTATCATGACTCTTTGACAAAACGATCCTCCTGGTATGGAAAAATGTGATCCTTTAAAAATATAAAGCTATGAGAATATTGAAGCAATGGTTGTTTATGGTGAAATGTTTATTTAGATGGAATGTTTATTGTGAGATGTCGAAGGATGTTTAGGTCTGAATAGTTTCAAATGTTAGTTTGTTATTTTATTATCAGGGCATTTTTGTATCAAAGCTTTTAATAGTTAAGTCCCTTATATTCTTTGTATGCTTTCCTGATCCTTATAAATATGAGATAAATATGAGATAATACTAGAGTTAGAAGGTAACTTTTGGATTCACATTTGTACTCTGAATTTATTTGTACTCATCGAAATCGTAATCGAGCCAACCAGGTTATTTAGATCTTGTGTTCTAATCAATATTTTAAAAAACGGTTTTTTAGTTGAACCGGTATAGTGATCGGTTCGACCGTCAGGTCAACTGGTTTCTATAACTTTCATATTTTTCCTATTTTTCTACACATACATACATAAATAAATCATGAATTTGACGTTTACAAGTTAAAACATAAAAAATATATATATAAATAAATTGTAGATCAATCCAAATACATTAAAATAATACATAATCACAAGTTTTAGTATTTTACATCAATACATATACGTCAAAAAGAAAATAAATTATAATACCGAAACAAAATATAGTTTTAGATGAATACAAACACGTCAAAAAACTTTATAATATTGACCATATGTTTTTATTTAAGGAAAACTAAATAGATTAGAAAAAAATCATCAAAGTGTATTATGCAAATGGTTCTTGTCCATGTGTTTTTATTCGGTTTAACTTCAATAAGTTTATTTTGATTGGTTCAACTGGGTTTTTCTAAAAACCGGTCGGTTTAATTCGGTTCAAAAATCGACGTAAAATTAGTGATAGTTGAACTGCTCCCTCCCCCGATATCCTGTCCAATCGGTTCGACCGGCCGGTTCAAACCGGTTTTTAAAACATTAGTTCTAAGGGCATCCACAATCCATAACTCTAAGGAGTTCAATGGATTGCCACATCAATATTTCACTTTAAATAGTAAATTTGAATAAAAAGTGAAATGTTGATGTGACAATCAATTAAATCCAACTAGGGATGTCAACGGGGGCAAACAGGGCAATGATTGCATCCCCCACCCCCACCCCGAAATTTTCCCATTCTCCCGCCCCCGCCCCACCCCCGAATTCCAGAATTACCCCCGTCCCCGCCCTCGTTTCCCCATCCTTGTTTGGGTTGACTTTTTCTTGGGCGTACGAAGGTGTTGTTTAGACTAAAAGTAGTTATATTTTGGGCTAAAAGAAACCATTTTTGGTAAAAAATAGTTATTTATAGAATAATATTATATGTTTAAAATAAAAATATTATTACATCTCAAAAACGTTATACTAAAAAACTTAAAACATTATATTTTATTGAATTTTGGAAGTTCAAAATCATTGCTATTATTTATTATGTTTTTGTAATTAATATATATTAATATAAATAATATATTATTGGGGTCCCATTAGGGGTTCGGGACGGGAGTACTCACCCCCGCACCCACCCCCGAAATTAAAACGGGGGTTAAATTTGCCCCCACCCTGTCCCCGTCCCTGATTTTTTAAACATATATTCCCCATTCGGGATCGGAGCCCCACGGGTTCGGGGTCCCACGAGACTTTTTGACATCCCAAAACCCAACACAATTTCATGAAATTCCACATTTTCATTATTATATTTTTAAACATAATAATAAATTTAGAAATAAAAGATATAATAGTTTAAAAAAATACAATACTTAAAAATACATTAATTAAAAATTACGAAACCTAAAACATTTAATATCTAAAAATACATTAATTAAAAACACAAAGCTTGAAAATACATTAATAAAATAGATTACACCTACAAGTTATATTTTATCTTGCCCTCTTCACAACGATTCATTCAAATTTGTCGTCCCTCCTCCGGCATGCTACTTGGATCCATGAAAATGATTGACGTCTTTTCATGCTTCATTTTTTATTTTTTAATTGTATTTTTTTCTTCTTTTAACATGTTTTTTAAATCCACAGATCTTTGGTAGCGTTCATTGTACGAGGTCCGGCAAAATCTTGGCAACTCACAAATATAAAGGATATATTGTATGCATGCATTATATTACATAATATGATTGTGGAGGATGAAGGAAACGCGGTTTCTAATTGGTCTGATGATGTTGATCCTCCAATACGTGTGCATCGAGGACCTGCCCAAGAAATTGAATATCAAATTTTAAGGAACTCAGAACCACGTCATAGTGAAACACATCACGCACTTCGACATGATTTAATAGAGCATATTTGGGAACGTTTTTTTACACGATAGTCGGAATTAATGTGTAATAGTTCGATTAATGTAATATTTTATCAAAATCAGTTTGTATTAGATTTGTAACGGGTATATTTCTTTTTAAGTGAATTTTTATTTTTAAATACTTCATTTGTATTATTTATTTAAAAAAGTAAGACACCTAATTATTGATTTATTACATAATATAATACCTAAAAACGGTTAATTTTATTTGTGGCTTAATTAAAAAAATATAAAAATCAAATATAAAAATATAAAGAATATGATTACATATATATTTTGTTTGAAATTTAATTAAAAAAGAAAAGATTAATTTCATTCAACCACTCAATGATCATGCAACTCTTCTATTCAACCCTCCTCCTTATCATCACCCACACTCCATTTAACCTTTATTCAATCATAGTCACCATCTATTCAACTCTTATTGAACCCCTATTGTGGATGCCCTAAATTCTTTCATTACTCTGATCTCATATTACATACTCGATAAATTCACAACTACAAAAGTTACGAAATTTAGAAGTTTATGGGATTTGGATGTGATGGGACACGTGTACACCCTGCGTAGCGGACATTACACCCAACTTACTTGCATGCACGGTCCCATCATTCTCCACGTCGTTCCATCTGAAGAATGATATTTGGCACTCGTACGTGCAACATAGCTCCTCGTACGCGCAACGTACTCCGAGGAGGCATCCTACAAATAGTTGCAAGCCTCACTCCATTTCTTCACACCTCTTCCATTCTTTCTCTCTCAATTACTTCTCTTAACCCATCCCCTTCCCTAGTACTTCCCAAGTGCTAGAGGCCAGTCCTAAAGCGCCAGAAGGCTCCGACAAGAAGAGCATTTGGCTCAGAAGTTCTACCCCGCAGAGCCCGGCTCCTAGCCAAACCCCCTTGTAAGTGAGTTATGCTTACCCTACTCTAAGTATAAATTATGTTTAACTTTGTCATCGTTATTATGACCTATAAAGTACGTGTGCTAAGTATTATAAATTATACAAGTTGTTACTATAATACCTTTTTTTACTGCTCACGGTAAGAGGAATCTGGTTTGAAGGGCCACTTGGGTTGTTGAATTTTAGAATGACTTAATTGCTAAAATGGTCATTCCCTCTTGTGTTTCATGTCTGGTCCCTTTCTGTACATAGTAGTTGAAAAGTATTGTTTAACACTTATATAATACAAGAAAAATAATATTGTTCGATTAAAAATTAGTCGTAATAAATATTAGATTAAAATCTAGTGGTAATGATACTAGATTTCATCGAAGGAAAATAAATTGTTAGAAGCGAAGCACTGATCGAGTTTGGAGTCACCACTTTAACAAGTGAGCACATAGTTACTGTCACGCCCCCGACCGAGGCGGCGGAACATGCCGGACTGTGTGACTAAGTTCATGGGTCATAGACAAATTGAATATATAGTACAAGTACAACAATAAACAGAATAACATTCATGTTCCATCTTGATATTTGAATACAACATTTTTACAAATAATAATAACACATGAATTGCCTTAACATATAGGCATATAATACAACAACAAGTAAACTGGGTCACCTGTAATCCAATCTATCTTGAATGTCTGTTAAGTAATTTCCTAAGAATACAAGTGGTTTGAAATAGTGTCAACAATTAAGTTGGTGATTTCATAAGTGTTTCTATGCGAAAAAAATCTGCCTTTTTTCCTTTGTAAAGTGATATAGTGTGTACGTCTAGAAAATCCAATATTTTCTTGTAAAGTAAACAGTAGTCTTAAAATCCTAAGATTGAATGTACAAGTGTGAGAGTAGTATTATACGCTTTTAATTTAATTAAAACCATTTGAATGTATGTTTCCTTGAAATGTCAGTTGTACTGTACTGATAAGTAGTATAACGTAGTTTTATCATTTAAATAAAAATTATAACATCCTAAATTTTGAGTCCAAAAATTTCTTTAAAAAACATTACTAATTCAAAGCGTTAAGTCATTCCAACATACAAAAAGGGTTTATATGACAAATCATAGTTTCATTTTCAAAAACACTTGTTTAATTATCAGAGTAAACATCCCAGGCTAACTTGTCATGGTGTGTGCATTGCAACCCTCCCGAGCTCCTCTTCTGAAAACTGAATACTTGAAACCAAAACTGAAAACCGTAAGCACGAAGCTTAGTGAGTTCCCCAACCTACCACATACCATACATATCTACTAATCCAAACATGCCATACATAATACTGAGCACATAACCACATACTGGGCTCCCGCCCGCTGCATTGGGCCTTGCCCGCTATCGGACCCCATCCGCTACCAGGCCCCACCTGGCTTCGAGCCTCGCTTGGCGTACATATCTGTTTTCCTTAGGCCCCGCCCGTCTCTAGGCCCCGCCCGCTAACATATTATCACACCCCCAAACCAAGGATGGCGGAAACGTCCAGGGGTGGAGGACTTCATGTATAGTATCATAACCACAATTTCAATAGTAATTTAAGCAAACACAACCAACATATATATAATTGAAAAAGTTACATCACTTGTATGAATTA